CATTGGCTCTTCTTTATTATTATCCTCCTCTCTGACTCTTCTGAGAAACTCAAAATTGTTCAAGTATTTGATTCAGAACTATAATGTTCTCACTCCTTTACCTTCCAGGTCATTTCTTTGGGATTTTGTTGTTGTTGTTACTCTTTCCACTGAGTGTTGTGAAACTAAGAAATTCCTAAGAATTTTGCCTCCAGCATTTAAAGCCACATTTTTGTTTCTCCTTGTTAACCTCCCATCCTTTGTTTGATTTCCTACATTTATGCCATTCTCAGGAATCCAGAAGCCTCATGTTTTCCCAGACCCCAGGGACATATGGGGTGGGCCAGAGTGAGCATCAAGCTCTAGCCTTTCTTCTCTGGCCCATGATCCCCAGGTTTTCTGTGACCACACATTTTCCAAAAGAGTCCCTCCTAGCAAGTCTGATACATTGGGTTCTTTTTTGTGTGTGTGGTGGTACTGGGGTTTGAACTTAGGGCCTCACACTGCTAGGCAGGTGCTCTACCACTTAAGCCAGTCTACTATCAACACTGAGAATTAATCCCATTAAACTAATATTACCAGTGAGGTATTCCCAGCTGAAATTGGCTTGCATTTTAATTGAGGGCTTACTCCACAGTGTTAGACCATTGGTTCTCAACTGTGGACCATATCATTCTCACTCCATCCCCTCCTCTTCCACCGGGCAAGTGGGGACAATTAGCAGACGGTTTTGAGTGCCACAACTTGGGGCTAAGAGAATTGTTTCTGGCATCTAGTAGGTAACAGACCAGGATTGCGTCGATAGGAGATTTTTATTGACAATTTCTGGACAAAAATAATTTGGAGAATGTTCTTTCAAAAGCACTCACAGTTTGAACAGTCCAACTATGTGGCCACATTGGGATGCTAGAGTACAGGGCCCGTCTTGCGAATTTAGGTCATCCCCAAAACATGGCTCACCAGGGAAGAGATAAAGGGTTGGATTTTCTTTGCTGGAGGAGAGTTCATTCCCATTTATTGAGATTTTTCTGCTTCAGCTATGTAGTCTATGTAATCAGGATGCACAATTCTCAATGAAGGGGCAAGGGATCTTTGTATGTTTCTAATCAAGCTGAGAAAATGTCATTCTAGCTAAGAGCAAATACATATGGGGAAAGCAATGATTCAGAGAGGTTGACAGGAGCTGGTCTGCAGCTGTAGAGGCACTGAATTTATAAATAGTGCCACAGCAAGCTAGCACTCAGATGGCACCTACAGGAAACAGCAAAAATCTGGAACAATTTCTCAATCCGAACATGTTTCTTACCCATTCACTCACTCAGTAAGGTAAGCCAATTGTCTTCTCTGAAAATCTTTACAAATTTGAAAGATGCTTCTTGATCAAGTTATTTAAAGTTGTAGTACTGACAAAAGATGAAGGAATAGTTCCCATAACCTGCAGGGATTTCTTTTCTCCAGAGGGTTTGGCAAGATTATCATGAGTTTAAAATAACAAAGTTAACACTGAAAATACACTTTATTATGTTTTGATTTCACAGAAAATGTAGACTTGTAAATAACAATAGTTCTTTGTAACAATCTGTGTGACACTTTTATTAGCTTGTAGAAGTGGGAGGTTTGGTTAAACAGGAATGCATGTGAATATTAAGGAGGGTGGGGGGAAGCCAGGGCTGGAGCAACTATGATTTAGAAAAATAATGATCATGCTGGGCTTTGCAAGCCACCTGTCACCTTGCTGATCCCCAGAAAAATGTAAAGAACATTCTCACGGATGAGTGAAAATTTTCTCTGCCTAGGTAAGAAGGTCAAAGTCAGCACACCATAGCTGTCAGTTCACACCAGTGGATTGCTTTTCAGAAGCTCAGCACAGGTCTGACAAAAGTTGTTTATCAGCTTTGGAACTGGTGAGGTGTGTTTTTTGAGCACAACTCTTGCTCTTATGACAAGGAAACCCAGGTTGAAGTACAGTTAATACACACAAAAGAAGGTTCTGGTCCACTGGGTGCTTCTCTGAGCCTTTATTTTGAGAGCGGACAAGAGGAGAGATGAATGTTTTTCAGCTGAATGAGAGAGACAACACCAGCCCCAGGCCAGCCTCTAATAACTGAAAAGTAATAACAACATCCAGGCCTGACAAATGCCATCAGGCACAGCACATGCATGGTCATGCTGGCCACTCCGAGAAAGCCTGCTGTAGGTCTCCTACTTCAGTTGATGGCAAGGTTCCTTACTAAACGGTCAATGTGGAAGAAGATTTTCTGACTTTAAAACAACATTCTTAGAAAAGAAGTGATAAAAGTGATACCTGATTTTGGTCAAGCTTTATGATAATTTTTTTTAAAAAGAATATAGTTGTGACAATTTGAAGATACATCTTAGAATTAATGTTGGCCACCTAGAACATAGCTGCACAATGGGTATGGAGGATCAGGGCCCTGAGCCTCAGGAAAGAGGAGCTGGGTGACAGGGTCAGGGAAGCAATAGCAGGAAGACTTGTGGGGGTGACCAACAAGAGAAGCTGTCACTTGACAAAAGCTGGCTGGCTTTTTTCCTCTTGTGTCCCCTCCTATCAACTGGCTCCACCCAGATGGAATTGCCACTTGCCTTCTTCTCAGGTGCTAGTTGAGTCTGGTGACACTGGATAAGAGAAAGTAGGTAGTCAGTGTTCTGGGGAACCACGATCCTCCCATCATGCCACACAATAAGGATGCACACAGCTGGAGCTACATGTGATTGTGGCCCTGGGGGCTTTTTTGCTTGGGCTTAAGCCATTTCAGGGGATAAGCTGGTCTGTTAAGGCAGAGCATTAACTCTTTCAGACCATAAGGGACTCCCAGGGTTCTGTAAATGGAACATACCTGACAACGTATGGCCCAAGCAAGAATACAGACAAATCACTAAGCACCACAAACCAAATAAGTAAAGCAAATTTGTTGAAGAAAGCAGCTCCCAGACTGAGTCTCAGGGTCACGCACATATTATATCTTTAACATAGAAAACTCTGGTGAGCTAGTCTAGATCTTTTGTGGAAATGAATTCTTGAGACTACAGAAAATTAATGGGTATTATCTTAGGCCTAGGCAACTTTGATTTATAATAAGATTTTTATTGGGAGGGAATTTGTAAGGGGATTTGACCTGAATGGATCTCTTATTATTTTGTTTTGGATAATTTGTGCCATTCAATCCCTTAAAAGCATCAAGTAAACAAGAATTTAGTGTATTTCACAATACTGGAATACTAATCCTCTACCAAGCCCTGAAGAAAATGAGTTTGAAATTATTTTCACTTGTTTTAAAATTTTCTTTCAAATAGAAATTTCCAACTGGGTGCTGGTGGCTCACACCTATAATCCTAGATACTCAGGAGGCAGAGATCAGAGGATCGCAGTTCAAAGACAGCCTGTGCAATTAGCTCATGAGACCCTATCTTGAAAAACATCCTATGCAAAAAAGGGCTGACAGAGTGGCTCAGGTGGTAGGCCTGCCTAGCAAGCATGAAGCCTGAGTTCAAGTCCCAGTACTGAAAAAAAAATTCCTCTCACAGAAGTGAAAGCAGATAAAAACATTTCACTTTCTTCTTTTTCCCTCCACACTGAAGACTCACTACCCTTTGCAAGGGTTGCCTTATATACTGGGACAATTTATATAGGTTATAGGTCTTGTCTCTTTGCTGCTTATCAGAAGAGATGCACTTCAGCATAAAAAAATCAGATCTACACATCCCAGTAGAGATGAGAGGTGCTAATTTCATTGGGTAGATAAAGTGCTTAACTGTCTCAAATACTCTTGCAATGTGGTCCTATTCGTGATGGAGTGCTAGTTACAGCTGGTATTTATACAGATCCCTTCATCTCTTTTGGTTTCAGTATCCCCAAATTGGAGGGAGCTAAGATGTCTTCAAGAATTCTTCTGCATTCTAAATCAATTTATGGCTTCACAGTTCATCTAGTAGCAAGAAGGTCTGATGGCCTTGGGACCGCCATGGATGCACTGTGAAGGCGTCCACACCAGACTTCAGTGTAACTGGGACTGGAAGTTGCTCCCCATCCCCCACTGCCCAGCCTAGCCTTCCCCACATTAAGTGCACGGCAGCCACTGCCCTGTTCCACTGTTCCACTGTTCCCACCCACTGAAGCCGCAGAATAAAAGGAAGGATGTGTATGGAGGTGGACTGATGGTAGAGCACTTGTCTAGAAAGCATGAAGTCCTGGGTTCTCATCACTAGCACCACAAAAACTAAAGAAAGAAAAAAAAAGAGCAACCGTGGAAAAATTAGACAGCAAATTTGGGGTGGGGGAGCAGAGAGTAATAGAAAGGGGGTGAATTCAGTCATCTTAAAGGAGCCAGGAGGTAAGTATCAGTCATCTAAGCACTTTGGTAGGTTGTTTTCCATGGATCTCAGTCTGAATGATAAAAGTGCAAGGACAGAAAAAACAAAGGCCAATGTGTGAAAGAATGAACAAGCATCAATAGTATGACACCAAATGTACATAATGAAGCATCCTGGTAGTTAATGTAGAACCAGCTTGTAAGAAGTAGTTTGGTAGATTTCACCTTACTTTCATTTAATAAAGGAACAGGACAGGCAGCCTCTTCATTTTCCCTGAATGTCATCTTTTGGCTGATGCTAGAAGTCAACCATTATTTGCATATTGATGTTCCCATAATTGCAACTGGGTTGTTTAAATATAGTCCCTAAGTCATGATTTGTTTGCAATGCAATATCATAGGCAAGGCTATGTGTCATTTGCTTTAGGTTATGGTATTGTGTCATCTTATAAGCATTAATAAATGCAATTAAAAATGACAGGTCTTGAAGGGTGGTGGGTACTAATTGATGCTCCTCAGCACACGTGGCTGAGTTCTCTGGTGTATAGGTTGTCTCAGGCATGATTTGGCTCTGGAAATTCTCTGTCAGCATTTCACTGAAGTTGTCATTCCCAATGTTTTCATTCTCAAAGTCATCTCAATTGCAAAATTCCATGGGTCACATGCATAAGACCAGATAGGAATTTCCCCTCTTTATCTATATACATTTTCTGATATTTTACTTACTGTGTTATTTTTCACCATATTTACCTAATAGTTTCAAAACACTGTCAGATCATCCACCTGCCTTCAAATTCTCTCCAGCTCCTAGTAAGAAAGAAGTCTCATTCCCTAAAGATTCTTTAAATTGAGGGGACAGTGATGAAAAGCAATCACTTTCTGAGGCTTTGAATATTGGTCATGATTCAAAACACCATTGGGCTGAAGGACACACAGTCCTACCTTGTTACATCAGAGTTTAATATGGCAATAAACGCTTTGAAAAATATGCATTTTTAAACCTCAAGTTTATTGAAAGACATCTTTCTCCAAGCAATTACCAAGAATGGTGGTTGTGGACATCACTTGATCAGACAAACGCTCTGCTTGGACTATTAAAGAATTAAAATTAACCTGGTGGAGTAGATTCTGCTTTCTTTACCCATCCCCCACCCCAAAAGGGAAGTATGGAATTTCTTAACTGTGAGCTTTGTTGGAAGATACAGAGAAAGCTCCTTAGAGATGCTCTTTTTCCCCTTGGTCAACTGCCCTAGAAAGAGGAAAAGTGTAGGTGAGACTAGTCTGGGCCCACTGCCCTCTTCCTCTCATAGCCTGTCATGCCATTTCCAAAGAGAACTCAGCAGAAAGAGAGGTGACCCCAGACTGCTGAAGATGGATAGAGTAGGGTGTACATTATGTGCAGCATGTGCCCCCAGTTCTGGGGCACCGAAGGGAGGAAGAAGAGGCTTGTGTTGAGACAAAGGCCACATGCCTTAGGAAATGTCTCCCCAGAAAGAACTCAGAGGTCCAGTGTTCTTGCAGATCCAATATAGTCCTTAAGCAAGAGAAGGTGAGTGGTGACCTCTGCTGGGGTCATGTAGGGGTTGTCCAATCCACACTCTTGGGAGCCTTGCACGTGTGCACATCCAGGGCTTCGAGGCAGTCTTGACAGCGCACGGCACAACACCAGTGGAATTTACACTCGCACTTGGTCATCCGGGTGACATGAGAGGTGTCATAGCCTCTCCCACAGCACATGACTTCACAGCTGTCCATGCCTCGGGATGTCAGGTTGCAGACACGGCCTGCTGTACCCAGGGAACCTAGAAGATAAGCCAGGAAGGTGTCACTGAAAAGGTTTGCATGGACTACAATAGGCCTTGGGAAAAGAGTCAGGAGATCCAGCCTACCCAACACCTCAACACAACATGGAGCTGTAGCATCACTCTGGGGCCCTGATGGAACTGTGGTGTGTGTGTGATTCCTCTGTGCAGCTTCAAGGTGCTGTGAGGACAGAGTACAGGAAGGATGGACATGAAGCTTTGGATTTGCCTTAGGCAACCTGAATCTAACTCTCCTACTTCTGAATTGGATAACTTTTCAGGTTATCCGCATCCAGCCTTGGATTAAAGGATCATTGTATGGACAAGGCTAGATCTGAAAGAAAGGATTTCTTTCCCAACCTCAAGCCACAAGGAAGCAGTGGACAAAATTAGCTTTCTCCAAATTTGTGAAGCATGGGACCCTCAAAGGGAGAGAATTCCATCTCCTCAGACCTGATTTCACTGACTTATTAGAAAGAGATCAGAACTCTGGCTGCTGGTGGGAAGGGATGGGTGTCATTGCTGTGAGAACTGGGAAAGGAAGGGAAGGGTGTAGCCCAGTCTGGTTCATCACTGTCTCTCCCACCCCTGCAGTGTAGTAGGCCACAGAGATGTGTATGAGTCACCTGGTTGAAGCCATGGTTCCAGACCTTCAGAGAACAACACTGGCATAAAAACTAAAACAAAACAGTGAGGTTTACTAGTGGAATGCCATTTTAGTTAATCAGTATTATATATGCTAAATGGTAATTCATATTTATATATTTGTTTTCTGAATATTAATTTCAAATAAAGGAAACCCCTTTTGCTCTACTCCTGGGCAAACATCGAGAATTCTTTTATAAGAACTTTATCAGATAGCACAAGCAAGTATAGTAGACATTTTTGGAGAGAGTTCTCAGTTTACATTGAGGAAGTAGAAAGCTGCTTCCTTTTCCACTGAGACGAGGGCTTAACAGTCATGTCGTACAACGTGACACTGCTCACTAGTGACAGATGACTGGATCAGAGGGTGGGCACCTGACTCATGCTGGACCAATTAGCGAAAGATTGGGATTTTGACAGAGTCACTGTTTCTACATATAAACAGTAGTCATTGGCATTTGTACTCTGTGATGACAGATATGAAGCAAATGTACAGACTGTGAAGACCGGACAAAGACAGGGAATGCCGCCCAATACTACACTATTTTCTGGTTCTGCTTTTATTTCTCCTGGAGGTCTGGCTGCACTCCAACCTTTGAGTTTCTAGAGGCTGTATCCTAATAATTTCCTCCTCTTAGCTTAAACTGTTCCCATTTCTATTACTTGCAATTGAGTAATCAACTAATTAACAAACCTATTTAAATAAAAATATTAGGGTGAAAAAGATAGTGACTTATTTTTAGTTTCTCCATCATATAACTAGAACCGTCTCCCCCTTTGTACCTCCTACAGTCCCTCGTGACTCTGTGTTTATCACAATCTGCTGTCTTAGAATTATCTATATAAATGTCATGTTGCCCTGCCTGTCTAGAATGACCAGGGAAGCAGCAAGAAGCAAGGCGTGGGGTCAACAAGAGTGGAGGTGGGGCAGAACTTTCTCTGCACGTCAGCTGCTGAGAGCAGGAAGACAGATCAGAGGAATTTCACGAGGACAGGAAGGATGGCAGAGGGCCGGGGTTGGGGTTGGGGTGGAGGATGGGTCAGCCAGGGGTGGCCTTAGCCTACATCGTGCTGAAGAAGCAAAGGGTTAGAGGCAGCAGCTGGGCCTGGATTCAGGGCAACCATCAGGACAGTCCTAAAATCACTGATTGTGCAAAAAGGACTCGCTGCCAAATGCTTCCTCTTAACAGCACACCCATTATTTCATTAGATAAACATTTAGTGAACACAAACATGTGTAAGATGCTGTGTTAGCTGCCTGGGATTTTGAGAGGAAGGAGGGAATAAAATAAATAGGACCCAGCTCCTATTCTCAAGGGAGTCATGATACAGTGAAGAGATATGTGGAGAGATACTTTCAGTACTTTCAGATAATTGTTTCATTTGCTCAAGACCCACTGAAATCCACAGTAGAGTCATGTGCAAAGTCCCATGACAGACAAAGCTCAGACAGTAGAGTTTTTAGAAGTTATTTAGAATCTGAGCAATTCAGGGTTCATTCCTAGAGTTGCTATGTGTGAACTGTGTGATCTTGGGCAAGTTACTTAATTTTGTTAAGCCTTAGTCTCTTCAAATGCAAAACTGGGATAAAAACAATTCTTTCCTCATAGGGCTTGTGTGAAGATGGAATGATATCATGTATGAAAGTGCGTGTTGTAATAAGTCCTCAAGAAATGTTAACTATTCATTTAGCAAGTGTTTATTGAGTAGCTACGTGTGCTAGGCACAGTTCTGGGAGGTTAGAATTTGTTAACAAAGAGAAGATTCTGCCCTGAAGAACTTAAATGATATTTCTTGGTATTAATATTACATAGTAGAATAGATGACTAGGTAAAAAGCTCTCAACTGTGTGGTTTTGTTGAGAAGGTGACATTAGAGACAGGATGTAAAGAATGAATAGACTGTCAGGGAAAGAATGGAGTGAAAGGCAAGAAATTCTAAGGGCAAGTTCACAAGAGTACAGATTCAATGTGGCCGAGGTACAAGGTGTGGAGTGTTTGGCAAAGAGCATAGAAAAGGAGACTAGAGAAACAGGTTAAAGAGTCTTATGCCTTGCTACAGTTTGGATTTTATGCCATGGTGGGTGTTGAGCAAGTCCAGATTTTAAACAAGGAAAAATGCTATGTCTGGAAGAGTGGTTTAGGCAGGGAGGTAACCCTTGAGGTACTTGGAAGAGTATAAGTAAGAGACAATGATCAGAGGCAGAAATAGAACAATACATGATAGGCTACAGGGCGTGAACCACGAGAACTCACTGCGTTGTGTGGAGGTGGGTGGAAGTATCAAGTAGGAAAAGATTGAAGATATTCATTTGGTTACACAGCCAGGAGGTAGCCACCCTTAATGTGAGCAGTGGATTAAAGAGTAAATGGGAGGACAGGACATGGGGCAGCACATTTGGCCAGATTCAAGGAGCTTGATGATGAAGTAGATGAACAGGATAGGGCTGTGAGGACTAAGGAGGCTGCAGCTGGGACTTCAAGGTCATTTGGGCCATTGAGTATTTTAATGGTTTGTTTTGCAGCTATCTGATCCAAGTTTTCATTTCAGATGAGGTTTTCATTTATACAAAGTACAGAAATGGAAAAAACTAATGAATGATATTGAAAGTCAAGGTAATGATTTCTCCTGGGGGTAGAGAAAAGGAGTATGAGGGAGGCTTCTAGAACACTGGGAATCTTCAGGTTTGTGATCTTGGTGCAATTACATGTGTGTGTTCATTTGAGAAAATTCATTAGGTTGTACCATGTGTACAGTGAACAAAGCAAGTAGTATGTGCTTTCTCTGTGTATTGTGTGCCTCAAGCAGTTAAGAAGGTGCTGTTAGAGGAGGAGGAGGAGGGAAGGCTGGAGGAGGCCACATGGTTCCAGGCTAGGCTCATGAGGAACAGGTGCTCCAAATGGCTGAATATGCTGTCAAAAGACAGAGCGGCAAGAGTTGAGGCTAGAGGGAAGGTAGAAGCTGCGTTGTCCATGCCCTTGTGTAATAGGTTAAGGGGTTAAACTTTAATATGAGGATAAAAGAATTCTGTTGAGAGTTTTCATGCAAGTGGCAACACAGGTTGATTTGTGCTTCAGAAGGCTCACCAGTGTGCTGAGGATGATTGGATTGAAACTGGCCCGCATGAGGGCAAGCTGGGAAGGATGGCAGGCAGCCTGAATGGGAGAGGTTAGTAGACAGGAGATGCTGGGGAAGCAGACTCCAGCTTCCCCAGCATGGTGATGGATGGATGGACTGGGGAGAAGACAAGGAAAGTCCAGAGGGACTTTTGGGTCTTGGCACTGGTGATTTCTGGAGGTGGAAAATTCCCTGAAGGCACATACTTTGAGAAAAGATAATGAGTTTAGTTGGCCCGATGAGTTTGCTGTGACTGGAGGTCATCCAGGTAGAAATGTTCACTGAAATACTCTCTGTGATTCAGAAGAGGTTTGGATGGAGTTGTGGGTCTGGAAAACCTTTTCTAGAGGTGGTAACTAAAGCCATATGAATGAGACCCCCAACGAGTGTGGAAAGCATGCTCACTTAGCATCTCAGAGATAACTGAGTGTTTATCTTTTTGTGCCCTGTTCATAAGCCCCGCACAACAATAAACTTCATTTATACTGATCTGCATTTATCAAACTATGAATATACTACTATGCATTAGAATTCTTTATCCCCCTTGGGGCTGTGGGGCTAAGGGTGCTAGGATAGGAAGGTAATGCGTTTTTTACTGACGTCTAACTTGGTGGTCTTTCCTCAGTGCTTGAAGCCAAACAGTCTGAGTTGGTGGTGACCAAGCCTTGAGTAATGGTCATGAAATGGTGGGTTTTGTTCCCCAAATGCAGAAAAACTGGACTGGACTCTGAATAAAAGGATTGCTCAGTGAAGTGATCTCAACCCCCTCAGAACTCAGAGAGAGTGGGGCAGAGGAAGCAATGGCCATTGATACAAGCTTCACTTGAAAGTGGTTTCAGTAAAGGAAACAAAGACTCTGGCAAGGAGATGCCTCAGTAGTTCAATGCTCAGTTATAAAACAACGGAAAACATAAGTAATCAGAACCTGCTATTCCCACCAGCTGCCCAAACAGGGCATAATGAGGCCAAGAGGAAGGAGGATGAGAGACAGTTTTTGAGGATTGAGAGCCAGTGATGTGAGAACAGCAGTAAGGTCACAGCCTGGAGCTGTAATGGGCCCCCCTGAGAGAGCGGAGCACCAGGCAGTGGGCCAACAGGGAGGGGAAGGGAAGCCTATGTAGCAGAGGGAGATGATGGGGCTGCCTTAAGATGGACTACAAATTGGCCTTGCTTTGGGGTGCAGATCTAATTAGATCTAATGACAGACCACAGGGCAGAAGGGCAGTTTGAACATTTGC